TCTTATTATAACCACGGACGAGTGAGCGTATAAGGCTAAAATCGCGGTTTTTCAACAGTTTGCTCTCTGGTGCTCCGTAAAAACTAATGATGGTACTTTAGGCCGATGAGGAAGCTAGACTGTTTCGAGAATTTCTCGAGAGCCTCAAAACAGAGGACAAGAAGGGCAACTCGGTGCAAAAGAGCACTTCTAGAACGCCGTTAGGCTCTGAAAGCAGTCAACCCTCGACGAGATCAAGTCGCTATCATGTCATCTCAAGCGAGACAGAACTTCTCGAGAAGATACGAGATATCAGAGATGAGCTTCACATCCTGAAGTCTCTAGCAGAGTGCCAGGAACACGTATGGAACGAGACGTTCGCTGTGCTTCTATGAGGTGGCTTTCAATCATCTCGATTTCTTACGCCAAAAGATTTGAAGAAAGATCTGGAAGACATGATTCCTGAGGCCGAGGAAATCGATAACAAGGTTGGTCATGATTGCCATGGTCTCGATTGCGTGACCGCCGCTGATACACAATGGGAAGATCAACACGCTTCTCGGCTTGCGCCTATCAGAACTGAGTCGCTTACAAGCAAACGGCGCGGCAACACAAGCCAATAGACAAGCCAATACTGTTCTCGTCTTCACAATTATGACAGTAATCTTCGTAAGTGTCCAGCCAACAAAGGAATACAAACAACGACTTGAGAGCTGACGGCGTACTTCACTGCCAGCTGCCTCTATCTTTTCTCGTCTCTCTTTTCGCACTGGACGTGTCCGTCTTCCCACACGACTCAGAGGGTGTGAAATACAAACCTGAGTGGCTGTTTCCCATGCTCTGTACGTGTCCCCGAGGTCTTTCCCGATTTCCTCTAATGATCTTACAGTTGGTATTTCTGCCGCGGTTTCGATTCCGGCTATAATGCTCGCTAATAACATCGAATCCCTACGAATGAGTTGGAAAAAAATAGTTCACTCTTGGAACCCATGGAAGGATGGTATCCCGAACTGGATGGAAAGACGGAAGCAAACTGAGTCCAGCGAAGTATAATGTGCATGACAACAATGAGCATAAGGTGTCGTCCCAAGGATATCACCAGCTTAACCATTTTCTGCATGAAGGAAGCAGCTTCTACACAAGTCACTCAGGTGCAAAGCGTTGTCAAAAAGCGTTCAAGGTAGTCACAAGTGTTCATGTAGCTAGCTATTCAGAACAGGCTTTCGAGTACCATTTTAGACATAATTAGTCTTCACATGATATGAAGGTCTCTCAGAAGTGGGTTGAGCACCGAATGTCTGGGTTCAACAAGTTCAAGGTTGAAATCTCATGTGACGGTTAGACTTTCTTGGCCAAATGCGTATGCCCGAACAGATGTGAACATGCAATCGTTTCGGTCACCGATTTGCAGCCAATTGTCATGTAATAAATTGCTATAGTACTTTTGCCATGCTTTACTGTATTACCTTGAGACTGGCCTTGACCCGATCATGCCTCCCGCAAATCCGTACGAGCACCGAGAGGTACAGAAAGAATGACGACTCGGTATCTGCGCGCTGAGCCTATGTTTTCAAAGTTTCTTACTAATGACATCTGATTGTTGAGTTAATGGCGAGTCTTGTTGATACTATAAAAGAAAAAGAAAAGAAGAAGAGCAAGAATAGAGCAAAAGAGACCAATCAAGCACCGCTCGTATTGCTTTCGGAACCATGTCGGACGGACCGTATTTAGCCGGGGCAACTACGCCTACGTTTCACAAAACCCAAATACGAGATGGTCGTCTAAGAGAATAATGACTAGAGGCTTGCGCCGAGAAATGCAGGACTTTCAAAGCGCTGCCCAACCTTGGCACAGCTGAAATGGAGAAATAGAGGAGGAGTTGATACTAGGTTTTGGGGTGAATATGCAGTGTATACAATACTACCTTAAGTATACTGCTTCCGGCCGAGACCCACACGAGGGTAGTTTGTCCGTCATTGTCCATGGTGCTTTGGGTTCTGGAAGTGTATTTATAAATTGTCACCGCTGCGTTTCCTATCCTTTCGAATCATAGGCTTTTGATTTATAACGTTCTTGCTCTTGGATACCTTGTCTAGTCTTGAGCAAGTGCTGGTCTTAATTCATCAAGGCAATCATGAAGCCGTTTACTGTCCTGCTATCAGCAGCCTCCATTTGGTCCCTCGCTCGTGCTACCGAGGACCCGGGGATACCCGAGGACTTTGACGGGAGCGGAGAGAGCGGTGGTGGACCTCCCGAGCCCCCCGTTGGTTTGCCGACGCCGGTCAAGGAAGAAGATTATGTTTGGGAAGTGACCAACTGGCAAGCAGGCCTGAGCCACGGCAATCCGAATGATCCCACGACTGGTTGGTACAGTAAGTAAAGTCATGATTGAACCCCCCGTGCAACCTTTTGGCTCGAAAGCCTCCTTTGCCTTTTGCCAGACAAGGTTCATGATTGCTGATGACTTGTCCGCTCATTGCGGTGTCTTCTTATAGGTTTCAATGTTTCGGCCCCCGCAATCATGTTCGATGAACGCTATGTGCCCGGATTCGATGAGCATTGTGCGGGATCCGCGATGGGATCCCCTCTCGAGTCCGACTTTGTCATGTGCGGGTATACAGGTGGTGGTCTGATAGCAGCGAGGGTGTTCCCGTCAACAGATAGCACCGAAGCTCATGTAGCCATCGAATACACGTGCGACAGCATGTATGTTCATTTGTCCCGACCTGCGCAGAACCCCCCCTTTTTTTGATCCCGTTTCCCGCAGGCCTTGCATATGAGTATGGCTAATCATGATTTCAGGAATATCACCGGATTTGCCGTTCAGGAGTGGGCAAGAGAGAGGCCACCCTATAACTTTACCATTGATCACTTTGCCATGCATGGTGGCTAATCAGATGATTGACTCCAAGCGGTTCTTCTTTGGCCAAGGAGCACCATTGAAGTGGAAAGGCTCTTACGGCAATGGATAGCATTACCTGGCGGCCGTTGTGGATATATGTGATTTGTTGTTTCTGTACTTGATGAGAAATGTCTATAAGAGGACTTTGGAATGACAATATGCGAAGTCAGAAAGGCAAATGCATGTCATAGTATGTAGATAGGGGTATGGGAGGCGGTTATGGATAAAGCACAAAAGTGTTGACGTACCAAGAGAAACTTGTCACTTTCGGATATTATGTCATAATAGTGAAGAAGACGCTCTCGTCCATCTTGTCTTTCAACACCGACCTCGGGTCGACGATTCAATATTCGCAACCCGGTGGAACGGAAGGACGGGGTGCTTGGAGTTGCATGAATCGGAGGGCCGAAAGATCTTCCATACCATGTATCACGTAGTGTCAGGCGGTCGACCTGAGGGAATGCTAGTGTAGTGCTGTTTAACTAGTAGGTCGAGGTATACATGAGAAGCTCTGAGGATCCTACGGCTGTGACTCGAGATTTTAGCCAGATCCACAACAGATTACACAGATCCAAGACAGTTTGTGACCAGAAGGTCTACAGGAGAGCCTGTTGTCTGCTCTTTAGCAACCCATTTTTTGGAATTTAGTCTCAGAACGAAACAGTACGCTGCTTACCTACCTACCCACTAACTATGTATTTTGATGAAATGTTGGCGCTCCCGGCTAAACGGTAAAATACATCCAGTTATTTGCAGGATGCAGTAGGTCCCGTATACGCATGAAAGCGGCGCAGTCATATTCTTAGTATGAATCGCCCATTTAATATTATGCGGCCAACACAAGGTAGGTGAGGAGACATTGAATTTCGCTTGGAAACGAGTGCCAGATCATCCAAGGTCGTCTCTTGGCAGGGTCGTTCAGGTACGCGTGGCATCAATTAGATTGTCGAACAATGGGCCATTCTCCCCTCCTTGCAGCAAGCAAATGTTTCCTTTGCCTATTGGGGCGCGAGTGAGCAAGCGACTGATCACGCATTTCTCCAATGATTGAACTTAGTGCTGATATAGGATTTCCCAACCTCCAGGAACCTGCTAACCTAGCTACATTCCTAGGTTAGTGACTTGTTACCTACTTAGCAGGTCGTTGCGAAGACGCCGTTGGCTACAACATTTCGAGTTAATGCCAATAGTAAGTCGACTGGGTGAATTTTTGAGTTCTGACAAAAGTCTGTGTGACAAAAGTCTATCGCCTTTAGTGAAAGCCTTGATCAAGGGCGATCGTCGGCCCTTGGGATGGGCTAGGTGGTTTTAGGTCCTTAGATAGGTACAGTTGTTGGTTGCAACGCGGGCACTACTTTTTTGCAACGGGGTACGGATGAGAAGCGCGGGAGTTATTGGATGCGCCATGGAAGAAGAAGTAGAAGGTCAACTTCCTTTCGTCCGCCCAACGTTTTAGGCTCAGATCATCTCTAGTGCACCTGCTTTTCAGTAGATCTTGTCTCCAGACAGACCATCACGATGTTAGTTTTGATGCAGGACAAATCGCCTCTAGAGGCATCGCGTGCCAGTCAGCGCGCACAACGTAAGCTTTGTCGGCAGCAACATGGATGATGGTGATGATGGTGATGATGGTGATGATGGCGATGATGGCGATGATGGCGATGATTTGGTCGATCGAAAGAACTGATTGAATCTAGATATACTTTGGAGACGAGACAATTGACAGCCAACGTATTTCGTATGTATGTTTCGTTCACAAGGGTCCATGTCTCTGTAGTACAAAGTGTCATTTTGGAGAAGGTGCCCTGTCAGCGGACCCCTGGAGATGCAACATTGATGGCAGCTACTTTTCCCCTCCTTCTCTTACTGCAGCCTGCAACCCAAATACTTTACAGCGCACAAATTGGCAATATACCCCCGAATACTGGAGCTCCTGTGCATGAAGTTGTATCTACGGTACATGCGCATTGCGTCGTCCCCAACTTGATCGACGGTCCCGCCAGTTTGGTTGGGACGTCTGAGCGACAAGCAAGAAAAAGAAAAGAGAAGTTAGAGATCTAAAGGTCCAGTTCTTTTGTGTTTTCAGTGAACCATTGCGAAATCCCCTCCAAGGGACAGTCAGTCCACGCCCAGACTGTGGGGTGCAGAGAAACAGGCTTGGCTAGAGAGCGGAAAGTCGTCAGCCAAGTCAAGCCAAGTGAGCCAAGTTGAGCCAAGCCCGCGGAGCGATCGAATAGTGACAAACACCACATGGCACTTCGGCACTGCATAAAAACGCCACTGCCAAGTTTGGGCCATTTCGGTTTGTTCGGCTTGAGGCGCCGCAGAGAGACATGTCAAAGCGACAGCGGGTAACACCGAGACTTGGTAACGGACTGACACAATGGATAGACAAGAGATGCAAACGTGACAGTCGGTGATGACGGACAGAGTGGAAAGAAGGAAGTCATCGTGGCACCTGTTCTGCTCCACCAACTTTAGTGAATTTGACCTTTGGGGCCCCGCAAAACCACTGCTTTGCCATGATCCATCGTGGTCCACTCGCTGAGGGGGGAGGACCACCCAAACTGGCGGCAGACGGCTGATGGACTCGACCATCTCGGTCGGAAGGGCAAAGAAAAACCTTCCAAGCAGATCTACATCCAGATCCTTTCCCTGTCAAAACGTGTGACTGGGTACTATGACGGCCCCCGATCCAGCAACTCCTCATGATCATCCATTCCACGTACGTCAACATATGATTTGAATAAAGGGAAAAAGAGGCATCAAGGGTCCTTGTAATCTGACTAATATGCCTAGCTGGAGGCGACTGACTGCTTGCCTCATGTCGGTTCAGGTCATTTGGCATGCAAATAACCTGAGATTAGGTGCTGCGGGTTGTACGTTACAGGTCCTGCTGGACAGCCTCGGCAGCCAATACACAATTCAACAATGGCGCCTCGCCGTCATTACTCAACCATTTTGCCGCACTAAATTGGCATTTATCGACACCCTCGCAATTGTCTCAGGGCGAAGGAAAGATCGAGGCTTCGGCTAACGGTTAAGATGCGAAACTGATCTACCAGCAGCTAGGACCGACCTCAAGTCACGACTCACGAGGACCATCACGGAAACAATCACAGAATCTTTGTAACTTCTTCTTTTTTTTTTTTTTTTTTTTTCGTTTTGGGGTGACGCCTCGGTGGTATTCCCCAGAAAGGATCCTGGGAAAATACTGTGCGTTGCAGTATCTATGTAGGTTGGTAGCGTATGTAAGATTTGCACTCCGCTTGCGGGGTACCTGTGTCGATCTCTTTGACTTTTTCTTCCACCAAACCACCAAAGCACCACAGGCCGTCATCTTGGCTTACTTGGCCTTGCGAGCTGCCAATCTGAACTGACTCTGCCTGCTTCTTTCGAGGGGTATGGTTCCATTGTCATGATAATATCGTGGTCACAATTCTCGATGATGTTACTTCCCTGCCCCGTCAAGTCATGCAAAAACACACGACAGAGACGCAGGACAACTGTACACATATCTTTCGACTGTGTACTCTGTAGGATGGGCAGATACCTCCCTCCCTTCTTCGTACCTCGTCCAACCCTTGCATGAAGAAGAGCACACCCAAATCAATTCTACATGCAATAGCCTGGTCGTCCCGCACATCCGGCCTCCAAAAACCAGCGGCTCATCACTCCAGGTTGTATCTACAGAGTACTACAATCTAATGCTGGCAGTTCCGAGGCTGCGACTGGGGTAAAGCTCCGGCCACTAGACTCGTAACATCAAATCATCCAGCAGCGCGACAAAGTCATTCCCGCCAATAATCATGCAGTATAAAGCTACCCATCACCAATCGCTCCGGGGGGGGGGGGGGGGGGGGGGTGGGGGAGTTTGACGAAAGGAACCTTTGCACCCTGTTCTGTCAGGACAGCTCGGCGCATCATCATCTATCTAGACGCCCCCCGGTAGCCTTGGCTTACTTGTCCCGCACATCAGAACATGTACACGAGCCAATGCAGTCTGGTCTCTCTTTCGGCATGCATGGGTTATTGGAGATGGGGACGGGGTGCCGAAGCCACACACGCACCCTTTTTCCCTTTTGCGAGACAAGGGGTCACTACCCGTTGTGCCCGTGTCTCGCTCAAAGCTTCCCCGGACCAGAGCTTCAGGTGTTTGTTCGTCTAGTGTGCCTTTGTACCCGGGGGGAAGGCAATTGGAGATGGGCTGACCCCATTTCAGAAAATCAGATCACAAAATTCATGTGCCGTTGCCCCAGTCAAGGTAAGTTAGTCGCCTGCTACGTGTATACAAGACGGAGAAGTCTATTACGCATTAGTCTCCGGGAGGACTGCGACCACGGCTGTTATTGTTCAGCTATATCCGGCCATTCATATACGTAAGTATCCTGAATAAGTGCGCCCGTAGCCATTTTGTATTGCAAGGATGCAAGATGAAGCCAGTGGGGAGGGAAACAATATAATTCACTGTCTGCCCCCCCTCGACGCCGACCACCACAATGAGGCATGTCGTCTACTTGGTAGTAGTTCACCATCAAAGTCATGGCTACATACATACATGGCATTACCTACAGAGGACAGATACAGACTAATGTGCAAAGAGAGCCCGGCTGACTGGAAAGTCGGGGACCCTTATGACGCAGACACGTCTGGACTGCTTCTGGGCTGCACACGCATTGACCTGAAAGAATGTCCGGTCCGGTGCTCTCGTTTGATCATTGACGCGATCGCAGCAGGACGTTTCTTGTACGGCAACGCTGACTAGTGCAGGTAACAGAAGGATTTCTCTTTGGTAATACTTCCTCGTCCCCGAGGCGCTGGATCAGGGATTTTCTTTTTTTCTTTTTAGCAGACCATGACTACCTAAACGGGGTTCTCGAAAGACCGAAGAGTAGCGCCAAGCTAAAAGGTGGCACAGCGCAAAGAAAGAAGAGAAGAAAAAAAAAAAGGTCATCTCTTCGGTTGGTCCAATAGTGAATCAATAGTACATCATCTCGACAGGATCACCACGCCCAACGTCACCACGGTCGTGGCTGTTGTGGGGTCGCTTGTCAGGTATTCCACAAGTATTCGCTTCTAGTCTCGGTCTCTTTTCTGCCTAGCCTAGGCCAGGCCGTTGGGCGGACCGTACGACAAGCGTCGATTGCGGAACAGATGCGCAAAAGCGGCTTGCTTTTGTCGTGTGTCGATGATTTCTCTCTCTCTGTCTCTTGTCTCTCTTCTACTGCTTCTGTCTGTCTCGTCTTACCAATTCGGTCAACTAGACGAGTGATCTACTGGTGTACCCAGGGCAATGGTATTTGCCTACTTTAGGTAGTCTGGTCACTAAATCCAAAGTCAGAACTGGTGTGATTTCTACCCATCTAGTGTAGTCTTACACCTACATAGTACGCCTATATGCTATTCCGTACACTGACCGCAGCAGCTATGGAAGAATGGAAGTAATGAGGGTGGCACGTAGGCGTAGGTAGGGCGAGTGACTGGGTCCCTACTACCCAGCAACAGCAGTTAATCTGTTAATCACTATAGGTAACGAACGGGTTGGTTACCCCAAGCTTTGAAGTATTACCAATTCATCCCATCCACCCACACACACACTCGATGATTACCCAGTCATTCCAGTCCAGTCTCTCTTTTCCATATTTATTAATCTCAACAAACTGCCCGTTGCTACCGGGGGCCCCAGTCGCTTGACCCTGGACGTCTTTTCTCCTTTCCCCATATATTTGTATCCTACTTAAGCTTTCCACTCCTCTCTCCGCATTTTCTGGACTCTGTTAAACCGCGTCCCCAAATTCCCCCCCAATCTCCATTCTTCGTGGATCTCTTAAACCCCCATTATAGAGCTCCACCCAAACAAGAATAATAAGAGACCGCCACAACCCTCTCTTCCTCTCCCTTTAAATCAGCCCTGCCAAGCCTGCATACTCTCAACCTTCTTCAGTTGCACCTCAAACTTTTCTCTTCGCGACGACTCGTCCTGCTGGCACACAAACTCGACAACAATGGCCACCACTACAGAGAGCCATCAACAGGCTGACCTGGAAAAGTCCATCACAACTGGCACAAATGGTGGTGATATTGGCGACACAACCAGACGCTACGACTATGGAGGAAACCCCATGACCCATATACACTCGGGAGCCGACGCGAGGCTGGCTGCCTTTGGAGGAGAGTTTCAACCCGGTCTGTACAAGCCGACGACGCACAGGAAGTTTGCCAATCCCGCGCCTCTCGGTCTGTCGGCTTTTGCCCTGACGACTTTTGTCCTCTCTCTCATCAATGTCAATGCCCGTGGCGTTGCCGAGCCAAACATTGTTCTGTCCCTGGCTTTTGGATACGGAGGTCTGGTTCAATTGCTGGCCGGCATGTGGTAAGTGGGACACGATCTTTTGAAAGCTTCCTTTGATTGTCGTGGCGCTTCCCAATGGGAAGAAATAATGACGAGTTCCATTGCTAATCTCACCGTGCGCGTATAGGGAAATGGCTGTAGGAAACACATTTGGTGCCACTGCACTTTCATCCTACGGCGGCTTCTGGATCGCCTATGCCATCCTGCTGACGCCGGGCTTCTCTGCCCTGTCGCCGTACACGGAAGCCGCCGACGAGGCGTCAGCCCTGGGCTTTTTCCTGACGGGCTGGTTCATCTTTACCTTTATCCTGTTCATCCTGACCCTGAAGTCGACTGTCATGTTTTGCATGCTCTTCTTCACCCTCGACCTCGCCTTTCTCATGCTCGCGTGCGGCGAGTTCGCCGCGGCCAACGGCAACGCGGCCTCGTCGCTCACGCTCAAGCACGCCGGCGGCGGCTTTGGTCTCTTGGCTGCCTTCTTGGCGTGGTATAATGCCTTTGCCGGTATGGCAGATAAGAGGTATGTTCTAGAACCACCCAAAAAATTCAACCCACATCTCTCGAATTCAAAAAACTGACTCGTCTTTTCTTTAGCAACTCGTTCTTCCTTATTCCCGTCATTCACTTCCCCTGGTCAGACAAGGGCCGTGAGCAGCGTGGCAAGACTCCTCGTGAGCAAGTCTAAGCATTGGTTCCATATAGAGAATCTGCTTTTGGAGAGGCCCAATGGGCTCCGGGTACGAATAGTATGACTTGATTGCTTGTGGCGTTGATGACGTTGAATATCCCATGACAATCTGTTGTTGTTTTTATCAAGCGATATGTTGTTATTCGATGAGCATCTGGGGAACAAAAAAAAAATAACCGAATGCTTCGAGAGGAGATGAGTAATGAACGTTTAGGGCGAATCCCCCCCTTGGCGTAAGCAAATAGTGAGCTCGTTAGTGGTCTGCTTGGTGGTGCAGAAATTTTTGTTGTGCTCGATCTAGATTTTATAATGACAAAACTACCCCTGATTTCTTGCAAAGACGAATTGGATTTCTGGTCTTTCTACTACTTCCGTGCAAATTCTGTTTCGTGAATATATTGTTGGGATACAGCAATATAATTGATTTCATCAACATCGGCTACTTCGCTGAAATGGCCACCGGCACACCTGCTAAACGGGCACTCCGATGGTAAATCCTCATTACCCAACGTCCATTCAATCTACCGGCCGAAAGGGGACCGGATTACCATCTGGACCGTGAACACTGATGGGGATAACGTTGGGATCAAGTAAAGCAGGAAACCAACTCGTGATGATGGCAATTTCACTTCCTTTCTAGTAGAAATTCTCCGAAAACAACCTTTACAAGCCCGCCGTCGCAACTCGATTCCCCACATGGGCTCTTCGGTCCGTCTCTAGGCGGTCTCATCCACAAGCCGATATGCCAGGTCGGCTATAACGCAAAGTGACCTTTTTCTGTCCTTTCTCTCCCCCTTTATTTGTGCTTTGTACATTTTCAACTATGCAAGGCACCATAAGGCCATCTCGACTCTCTTGGGCCAACGGAAAAGGCCATCCTCCGTTCGCCCGGACCTGACGTTGTCTCTCTAGCTTGTTCCTTTCCTCTTTCCACACAAGAAAGAGTGCCACAGCTAGTGGTCATCCTTAATTCGATCGTTGTGCCCGCAGCAAACGTGTGCATATGTATTAATGAGTGACATCAAATCAACAATGTCGGGTCTTTGCCAAAGGTGACAAAGCAAAGTCAGGAAACAAGAATCAATTGAAATATTGTTTGGCTTGTTAGCAGCAATATCGTATCGTATCGTATTACTGTTGCGCCTTCACAACTTCACAAATATTTATCAAGGAAACTCATCGTGACACTCATTTATTCATGCACTGCCAACCCCTAACTTTCTCTACTCTCAACTGCCATTTGAAAAAAGGTCTTGAATGGTGTTGACCTGCTTCCACCAGCCAATGTTTACATCGCTCAAGTAACACTACAGACTCCATTCTAATGAGATTCGAAAAGCGGCGCTACAGTCAAAATACCCTGGGAATCAACCAATGCATGAGCTATGCCAAATCGCAATAACACCTGTTTGATGCCCACCCTGAGTTCCACCCATTCATCTTTATCCATTCTCGTATCTTCATGCCAGCATGTTGTTCATTAGGTCGGCCTAGGCCCATGTCCTTGCGACTCGGGCAGCCGACGCCGTCCATACATTTCCTCCGTCGTTAATCGTCCCAAAGCTTTTGGTCAGAATTATTGCGTTCGATAGAACTTCTTGTACAGTGTATGCAGCAGCAAGTTGACGTTCAGCTTGAGATTGCCCTCAAACACATTCATGAACTGGTGGGACTCGAACTGGGACTGCAGGATGCTTTCAATCGGGATCAGTGCGCTGGCACCGGGGATCTGGATGTGCCCACGGCTGCCCTCGAGGTTGAAGACTCCGACCTCATCGCAGCTTATGGTCAGATTGATCACACCCCAATCACGCTCGGCTACTCCCTGCCAAGAAACAACGACGCCCCTATCGGCAAGAGAGCGCACGCTGTACTTGTACGAGCCGAACTTGGGGACCCGGCCCGAGCGCTCCAATTCGCGCTGGTGGTTGAATTGTTTGGTAAAGGGAAGGAGGAAACGTTTTTTGCTGTTGTCATTAGGTCAGTATTTCAACATTTCATGTAACTTGGTTGGATGACTTACCCCTTCTTGTTTTGCAAGGTTGCCATGGCCTGTTCGATGTAGTCGTCATAACTCTTGCGCTGTTGCTCCAGGTATTTGGCCTTCTGGTGCAAGTTGCCGAGCGTCATGCGAACTCCATCGAGCTCACGTTGTCTCTGCACTCGGCGCCTGCTCTTGGTGCGAATGTCGAGAGCAATGGCGTTCAGCACATCTTGGTAATAGTTTTGCTTGGAGATCCGACCCATGTGCTCAAGTCGCATGATGTTCTCCAGAGCATTTCGCTTCATGTCGTAGTATGACATCCGAGTGACATCTACCATGTTGGCGTCGGAATAGGCTCCCTTGGTATTGTTACCAGCAGCAAAGTCTTCTCGAAGCACGGCCGCCCATTTGTGCTCATCTTCTTGTGTAGGCGGACGAACCAGGATCTCAAGGAGATTCGCGCCGCTTTGGACACGAATGATGTAGAGAATGCAACGTTTCGTCTCCATGAATAGCGCCTTGACTTCAGCCTCCGGATCTTCAACGTCGTGCAGCTTTGGTGTTAAGAAGAGCTGGATTTCGGATGACCCTGCGGCAGTCATCTCATGCTCGTTGCTTTTGGCACTGCCAAGGTCTTGCATGATCTCGCGCAAGATATCATCACGGCCAGGACAAATGCTTGGGAGCTCATTGGCAATGATGGTGTGGATCGCGAAGACGTCGCCCATTTTGATGTAAAGCGTAGGCCTATTCTTGGCATACAAGTCATTGTATTCATCAATGTCAAAGGTGCTCTCGGCGTCGGCAACCGAAATAAGGTCATTGGTGATCTGAGCCAGACGTTCAGATGACTCTGCGACAAAGGCATTCAGTGGCTGGAGGTAGACATTCTCGCCACCAAAAGGCCTTCCAGAAGCAATTTGGCTCAGGACCTTGGCCACTTCGCCCAGGTTGCGCTTCTGCAGTGGGCCTAGAGTCTTCTCCATGACGCCTACTTGTTCTGGGTTGATGAGTGCGGGTTGCAGGTAAAACTTCCAGAGCCAGTTGGTGATAAGCTGCAAAACTTGCTGCTGAGGCTCCCTCTTGAACCTTTGACGCAATGCTTCGAAAGTCTGCAAGCAGACGAACCGCAGGCCGTAGGGCATCTTTGGGAGGAAATCCTCGAGCGCAACGAAGAATTGGTCGCAGATCTCGCGAAGATCCCGCAGGTGGTCAATGAAGAGCTCACGCGTCTCCGGATCCTTGATGGCCAAGTCTCTAGGCACGTCAAGTGGCCGCCTACTGGGGTAACCAGTGCGGAGCTCTTCATTGTTGATGGCTGATTTGTATATTTGGACTGGGTCGCTCTCCAAATCCAGTGCCGGGTCCTCGATGATGTTGTCACGGATTAAGGGGCCGAGAAGATCCCGCAGGTACTTGCGGTCGCGAGCCGACCGAGTATAGGCGCCAAGGAGACGAGCGGAGAAGAAGTTGCCGCGTAGGTAATCCTGGATTGTGCTGCAGCTGTCGACATCCTCCCTAATCGATCGAGTGATGAGTTTCAGTAGGTAATACTCTTCTCTTCGTTTCTGGGCATATCCGAACAAGCCCATGATCAAGTGTTCGATTCGCTTGCACTCCTTTTCAGCCGTGCCCTGCTCACGGACCCGTTTGAACAAACGCGCCAGGTATTGCGGTTGTGTCTGCAGATTGAAGAAAAGCTGTTGATAAGACTCGAGCTTCTTTCGGGAACTTTTGTTGAGAGCCTTTAGGTCGAATTGGTTCGCTGAGGCGATGGAAGTATTGGCCAGCAGTGAGCTTGCGTGGCCGCCAAAGTTGCTTTGGTGTCGAACAACTTCATCGAGGGTGATTTTGTTCTTCACCAGAAGGGCGATCTTGATATCGAGCTGATCAATGTACTGCTCAAGCATCTCGTTTTGGCGGACCTGCTGGACGACCGTCTTTCGGAGTCGTTCAAATTCGATTTCTTCGTTGAAGTCAAAGTCGCTGTCGTTGAGCAGGTGGACAAAGTTCTTGACGGCGTTGACAGGGGGATTCTTGCCCGTAGTGAGACTCTTGTATGCCTCGCCCTGGATCTTGGCACGAACAAAGCTTTGAATCTTGATGACCTTCTGCATGTTCTCGTTGAAGTGTCTCTTCTTTTCCTCAAAATGACCACGGACAATAAAACCCTTGGCGAGCGATTGTAATTCCGTGATTGCATCTTCGTGCTCGTCAAGTTCCGCGAGGAGATCCCCGACGCGAGCACGGCAGAGCATGGCGCGCGATAGAGCTTGGAGTGAGATGACTTGTTCTTCATGTGACTGAAGCTCATCCAAGAGGTCGAAGTGTCGCTTCCTAGACTGCAAACCCCGAATCCTTGCCTGGAGATCCTCAATGTCAGTCGTCAGGCCATCGAGCTCATCAAGGTCAGCGGCGATCCTTTGTCTTTCCAGCACGCCTCTCGCCATTGACTGTAGATCGATCACGGATGCTTCGTGCGTGCTCAAAGCATCAAGAAGATCAGCTGTAGCCGAGCGTACAGCTCCCGCACGGGTATGAGATTGCAGGTATGTAATGTCTGGAACATATTGTGCCAGCTCGGCCTTGGTAGCATTGACTTCGGATCGAACAGTGTTACCTCGGCATACAGCTTGCAGAGCTTCCCACTGCTGCGAGAAGCTCAATAGGGCCTCCCGCTGCTGGTTGGTCTGATTCCGTGTCAGCATTGCCCTAATAGAAGCTTGCAAACTCGTGATGGCCGAAGACTCCTGGTCAAGACTGTAAAGATCTTTCTCTAGCCTGTCTCGCACCAGCATGCCGCGAATCGCTGACTGCAGATGCATCACTGGTCCTTGCATGCTGTGCGTCTGCTGCTGCTGTGCGGCGATCTTCTCTCGTGCCAGGAAGCCCTTGCAGAGAGCCTGAATGCTCCGCACAGGGCCGTCTGCTTGTACTAATTGAGATCGAGTCTCGCGTACCTCGTTACGGACTTGAATAGCCCGCATCATGCTCTGAAGTTTGATGATGCTCTTCTCTTTGCTCTTCCAGAAGTCCTCTCTGTTAGCCATGCGACTGCGAACCAGAAATCCGCGGGCTGCACTCTGCAGCTGAATTGCGAAACGTCTCATTTGAAGTCGATAGTCCATAATTTGTCTGGTGAAGTCTCCACGTATCCGCGATTGGAGATCGACGATCCAGTCTTCCGCATCCCAGAGGCTGTTCATGATATTGGCCAGCCGCATCCGAGTGGAAGCACCACGAATCTGTGCTTGAAGGTCGAGAATCATTGCTTCGTTTTCTCCTAATTCACGGTCTATACGCTCCTCCTCAGTCTCTTCTGGTTCCGGGGTGGGTTCAACACCAAAGTCGGCGCCCATATTACCGAAGCTTGGCATGTTGACACCAAGCTTATCCAATCCTTTCTGCATTGCTTCGAGTTCGTGGTGCTCAAACTCGAGCTGACCAACCAGGTTGCCGATTCTGAAATCGACGATACCCTTGCGAAACAGCAGCCAACTAAGGGCATGTATACAGTAGATGACTTTGGGTATGTTCTTCTTCTCGTAGAGATCGGTCAGCTCGAAGCGGAATAATTCTGGCATCTCAACTTCGTCCAAGTACCGGAAAAAGGTAGCCACATTATCCCAGTGCCTGGCCTGAAGACGCGCGTGGCGGAATATTCGAAATCGTCTATCGGGATTCAAAGCCTCCACGACTTCGGCAATCGTAACGCCATCGCGCAATGCTTCCTCGAGCTCAACAATGGGCGGTATTTGTCTGTGAATAATGTCTTCGATCCATTCCTTGGCTTCACCAATGTGACAAAGGTACTCGTAAGCTTGGAGGAATTGGCGTTGTTTGTCCATCCAGTTTCGACCGGCAAACCCGTACTTGTCAGCACTGCGCTGACCATTCTGATCACCCGTGCGCTGCAACCTCCGACGGCCTCGCAGGCCTACGACCTCTTGCGTTGGTGATGTGATGGCAAAATCTTCCGCAGTGCCTAGCTTGGAAAGTGTTCGAAGTTGGCTTGTCGAGGAACGGCCGAGCTGCTGCAAGTCTGGTCTGCCGATGGGCGAGAGAGCCATAGCATTGCCCCCTGGTGGAGTCGGTCGCACAGAGTCAGAACGAGTGAGAAGCATTGATGTCGGGCGAGAGGCTGTTGTTCGCGGTCTAGGCGACGGTGACGTCTTCTCGTCCATGAGCGATAGTCTCCCAATGTCAATACTCTGGCCACGCTCGTGTCGAGTGGGCGTTCCAATATCTGTACTTTGGCCACGCTCATGTCGGCCATGGCTTCCAATATCTATGCTTTGGCCACGCTCATGTCGACCGTGGCTTCCGGCGTCGATACTCTGGCCGCGCTCGTGCCTAGAATAGCTCGGCGGTGTTTTAACTGGCGATTGGTGTGCAGGAGGACTCGGAGAGGGGCCGGGAGCCTGTGGGAGTGGCCTCAAAGATTGTCTGATTGAGCTGTACACATCCTTTGCATTTGGCGCAGACTCATCGAAGGTACTTGATCGCCTTGTCGTTTGCCGAATAGCTGCCTCACTCTTGCCGCGTCTGTGGCCAAGTACAGTTGGCCCAAATGCGCTTGATGTGACTGATGTATTTGCGCTGGTCCGTCCAAAGTCGTACGAATCAGATGTATACGAATAACCGGATGAAGCTGAGGAGGATGTTGTGGAAGGCTGCCGGGCGATGCTGTTGGGGGCGTAGTCGACAGTGTACGACTGCCTTAACGGGTGAGGACGGTGCGCCATGCTGAGCAACGACTGCTAGTAGTCTAGATGGTGCTCGTCCTGGGTATAATTGTATTGAATGTCGTCGGGAATCGGATGCCACATTACAAACAATAGCCGATTGTATTCCTCCAGATGCTCAGTCGGATGTAGGAGACATGAAGCTCCAGGCTGGACCAGAAAGAGAGACGGTGATGACGACCCAAAGCAGGACCAAAGGAAAACAGAGGCGGGCGCGGGCGGGCGCAGACGAAAACAATATTATCGCTCGATAAATGGCGGCCCGTCGCAAATGTTGTTGACGTATTCAAGGCTGCAGCGATATGGTGCCCAAAGTGGTCCAGTTTGTGCCTGGGGTAGCGCTGGTAGAGTATAATGAGAAATGGGTCAAATATGTTGTCCTTGCGCGCGTTCGGCGAAATGCGCAAAGGCTGGACCTGGTCGATTTTTAGTCGATCGGAGATCGTGCTCTGCGCACCGAGGCGGTTTAGCGATGGAAGAGTGTGTAAAACGGAAAAAAAGGCGAGATGACTCCCAGATCAAGTAATCAAAGGAATAGCAATGTCACATTCGCGAAAGACCATTAAGAGCGGCCTGCTATTAGGATTTGAGCAGAAAAATCAAGGTGGGCAGTCTAATGGCTTGGGCCGCCTTTACGAGGGGCTGGGAAGTCATGTTGTAAGAGGGCACGGCACAAGCTGAGAGCTGTTTTGTTTACTTCTGTAGCTGCTGAGCGACCGGCTTCCCCCGGCAGACCCCACCCACCGGCATAAGAAGCAACTTGAGCAGGGATGTTGAGTGGACAGCCAAATCGACCCATCAAGATGAGACTGTGACTTGTGGCTGGGGTGGGACAAGATCCCGGGCGGGGTTCAGGCCACTGCACCAGCCACCAGCCACCAGCCAAGCCAGCTGCAGCATCCCACCACAATCGATAAGCGCCTGGCGCCACAGAAGTTGCTCCCTGATGGCATATGCACGTCTCGAACGCGCTTACATCAAATGCTCAACGTAGGACCCCACCTGGACAAAATCTTTTGGGCTGCATATGTAAGCTATCGGCCTTATCGGAGCTCTCGATTTTGCAACTTTCTTGCTTGCTAGAGAAGTACTTGCTTACTACACCATGGAGTGCTGCAGATACGAAGTCTCTGGTTAACCGTCGTCGCCCCTCCCCACAGTGGGCAAGGGTCCCATCGGAGGTCCCAGGTGAATAAAAAAAAAATCGGCGAGCTCGAGGCACAGAGGCTTCTTTTTCCTTTCTTCTACTTGGGAAGAAGATCATTGTCCAAGCCGCCGTCGACTTGAAATCAATTCATTCGACGACAATCTTCGACCTCAATAATCTCTCATCAGTCGGTTTCTATCCTCTGATTTGACTTTGTTTTAGACACGATGCCTTCCACCAACGGTGTCAATGGCTCTGCCAAGGTCCTCGACCACACCACCGCTCTCGACCTCCTCAAGGAGTACGAGAGCCGCGATGGCCTCAGCATCGCAGACCTGATGGACACCAAGCTGCGGGGAGGTCTGACTTACAACGATTTCCTCCTCCTGCCTGGCTACATTGGTTTCCCCGCCTCCGACGTTGCCCTTGATTCTCCCGTAACAAAGAGAATCACCCTCAAGACCCCCTTCGTCTCTTCGCCCATGGACACTGTCACTGAGCACGAGATGGCCATCCACATGGCCCTCCAGGGTGGTCTGGGTGTCATCCACCACAACTGCTCTCCCGACGAGCAGGCCGAGATGGTCGCCAAGGTCAAGCGATACGAAAATGGCTTCATCGCTGACCCTGTCGTCATCTCCCGCCAGACCACCGTTGGTGAGGCTAGAGCCCTCAAGGAGACTTGGGGTTTCGGTGGTTTCCCCGTGACAGGTGAGCTCCCCAAAACTTTTTTATTCTGCAACGACTTTGCAAAATCCATTGCAGCACCACTCCTCACATCCGGCATCATATGATTACAAACCATAATTTTTAACTTTCGTTCCACCGTATCGACGAACTAGTCATGGGGAGACAATTATTTTCTAAATGACGATAGCCATCATTCATCCTTTTCAATCAATCAAAGAAACTGCGATGAATTAATGCTGACAATATGTTGCATCAGAGTCCGGCAAGCTCGGTTCCAAGCTTTTGGGTATCGTCACTAACCGTGACATCCAATTCGAGGATGACGAGAGCAAGTCGGTTGAGGCCGTCATGGTCACCGACCTCGTCACCGCTCCCCACGGCGTCGACCTGCTCGAGGCCAACAGCATCCTGGCCAAGTCCAAGAAGGGCAAGCTGCCCATCGTTGACAAGGACTTCAACCTCGTCTCCATGATCTCGCGCTCCGACCTTCGCAAGAACCACAACTACCCATTGGCATCCAAGTTGCCCGACTCGAAGCAGCTCATTGTTGCCGCTGCCATCGGTACCCGTCCCGAGGACAAGATCCGTCTTCAGAAGCTCGTTGATGCTGGTCTGGACATTGTCATCCTTGACAGCAGCCAGGGTAACAGCATGTACCAGATTGAAATGATCAAGTGGGTCAAGAAGGAGTTCCCCGACCTCGACGTCATTGGCGGAAACGTCGTGACTCGCGAGCAGGCCGCCAGCCTCATTGCTGCTGGTGTCGACGGTCTCCGTATTGGTATGGGTAGCGGAAGCGCCTGTATCACCCAGGAGGTCATGGCTGTCGGCCGTCCCCAGGCTGCCGCTGTCTACTCCGTCTCTTCCTTTGCTGCCCGCTTTGGCGTCCCCTGCATTGCCGATGGTGGTATCCAGAACGTTGGTCACATTGTCAAGGGTCTCTCTCTTGGCGCTACCACCATTATGATGGGTGGTCTTCTGGCTGGTACCACTGAGTCGCCTGGTAGCCTCACCTCGTTTGTCACTCGTGATGGCAAGCTCGTCCAGACCAAGGCCTACCGTGGCATGGGCAGCATTGACGCCATGCAGGACAAGAAGGCTGGTGCTGGTAGCAAGAACTCTCAGGCCAGCAACGCTGGTACCGCCCGATACTTCTCCGAGGGCGATAGCGTGCTTGTTGCTCAGGGTGTTTCCGGTACTGTGGCCCACCGTGGCTCCGTCGGCAAGTTCGTTCCTTACCTGGCTGCTGGTGTGAAACACTCTATGCAGGATGCCGGTATCAAGAGCTTGCAGGAGCTCCACGAGAAGGTGGCCGACGGTTCTATGCGCTTCGAGATCCGAACCGCCAGTGCTCAGCTTGAGGGTAACGTCAACATGGAGAGCTACGAGAAGAAGCTCTACGCATAAATCCAGCTAAATGCTTGATGGAGATGATCACAATGCAGACGACTGCAAATGAATCATCTAGAAAAAATGATACCAGAAGTGGCCTTGCGTTCGCTTCAAAGGACTTGTGACATAAGTCCGCAAAACAAAAAGGCGTTTCGGTGTTGATTTTGGTCTTGGGTTGACAGCGGAATCTATGTAGCATGTATCGCAACGGTACCACCAAAAAAGAAATTTTTGAAAGTGTAAAAGCAATTTACTTGAAACATTGAGTTGTGACATAATAATGGGCGTGACAATTTTATAAAGCTAAATACTCAAAATATTAGAGCTTCGCCGCCTTCCAAATCCATGTAGTATTTATTCTTCAAGTTGACAACTCATTTGATCAACGTTTTCTTAGCTGCATTCAAGGGGTTGAGCTTTGAGAACGATGGAGCCGGCTCGTTGTTCCTTGCGACCTTATTTGATGGTCTTAGTCGCCTTCTTGATGCAAGCATTGATAATATCCACCCACTTCATGGCATTGGCAATATCCTTGTTGTCGATACTTTCCACCAAGCCTGGGAAGACGGCTGTCGTGAAAAAAATTAGCAAAAATTGAACCACACAAGAAAGAAAGAAACTACACAAGAGGGGGAGATTTGAAGGGCGAGAACTTACCACCGGCATAACCAGTCCAAATGCCAGGCGCAAAGACCACGTGCTTGAACCAGGGTCGCCCATCGAGACCGCCCTCGTAGAGGAATGCGCGCTCAATCTTCTTGTACTTTGTGTTAGTAGCGCGGACCTGGTGCAGCAGCTTGAGCTTGGTGATCCACTTCCACCAAGGGATATCGTCGTCGACCTTGGCGGCGAGCTCGGCGGCGTGGGCGTCGAGAGCGACGGCAGCCTGGCGCAGCTCGCCAATCGAGTCCTGGAGCTTCTTGAGCGTGAAGAGCTTAAAGGCCTCGACGTCGCTTTGGGCCGTCAGGTCCGTGTTGGTAGTGCGAGAGCGGAACGCGGCGATCTCGGCCTCGGTGCTGGGTTCCGTCGAGCCCGCGGCGGGGCTCAGCTTCTGCTCGACTTTTTCAACGTAGCCCTTGAGAGCGTCGGCGTAGTCTGTGGCGTTGAAGGGGACCAATGGCGTCTCCGACACCTTGGCCACGGCGAGTGCGAGGACCTGAGCCATGGTCTTGTGGTAGACAAAGCCCGGGTCGCCAAACTTGCTCATCCAGTGGTAGCTGTCGTAGTTGCTGTGGTATTGGTAGACGGGGGAGTCAGCCGACTGGCCACCGAAGCCCATGTCGAGCGAAGGGATACCGGCAAAGTCCTGGAAAGCAGTAAAGTCGCTGCCCGAGCCCATGGTTGAGATGTGCCCGTCCCAGGTGTCGCGAACCGTCTGGCCGAAGACCGTCTGGTTGGGAGAGGGCACCATGTCCGTGACTTCATAGATCAGCTTGTTGAGGACTGGAGAGGCCGAAGCCGAAAACACAGGCGAGCGGACACCGACGTCAACGTTGATGTAGGCCACGTTGGCACCCGACAGCCAAGGCAAGTATTCTTCAACCCATTCCGTGCTACCAACCAGACCGTACTCCTCACCATCCCAGCTGGCAAACACAATGGTGCGCAGAGGCTTCCAGCCGACTTCCAGGGCCTTTCCAAAGCTGCGAATGGCCTCGTTGATTACGGCAGATCCACTGTTCGGGTCACCCGCGCCGCCAGCAATCCATGCATCTCGGTGGTTTCCGACCACGACGACTTCGTCCGGGATGGTACCGTTAATGATACCAATAACATCCCACAGTGGTGTAATCGTGTACTCTTGCTCGTTGTAGAGGTTGAGGACAACACCCTCGGGTGAAGGGCCGATGTTGTAGTCAACACCCTTGTATTCAAGTCCCTGGTTGGCAGTCCAGTACTTGTTAAAGTCGGACGACTTGGGTCCGTGGCCATTCAATGCCTGAAGGATAGGAATTGCCTCTGCATATGAGACGGGCAGGGAAGGAATACTCGGGATCTTGCCCTCCACAGGTTCTCTCGGCACACCGGGCTTTGACGGATATCCGGGTGTGGTAGGGTCACCGGGAGCAACGCTCAAGAATTGCACTGATCCACGCTGCACACTGCTAGGGTGGCGTGCAGGACCGTCGGGGTAGGCCTTGTAGCCATTCTCCTCGGTGATCTCGCCATCATCACCAGGGTCGGTGAAGATGACTGTACCAATCATGCCGAGCTCCTCGGCCCTCTTGACTTTCAGGCCACGGAAGATACCTCCATATCGCACGAGGGCAATCTTGCCCTCGAGAGTAATGTTTGCCTTGACGAGATCATCAAAATCTTGGTAAGTGCCGTAATTGACGTAGACAAATTGGCCCGTCACGTTGCCACTAGCAGAGTATCCGTGGAAAGTAGGGACACTGTTCTCGAGGCCGCTCGTTTCGTCTTCCTCGAGAATGGCTTCCTCCAGGGTGGCCTCAAAGGCAACCTTCCAGGCCGCAGAGCCCTCGGACTCCGGCTTCTCCAGCAATGCCAAACGGTGGTCTACAGGGTAGTTGATATATGTGTCGTAAGCCACGATATCTGACTGGACACCCCACTCATTCCATCGGTCTCGAGTCCATTCAGCCTGAGGATCTTAGTATGGTTTTCACGTGGCCATCGACGGTCATGGCAGCACATACCTGTGACAAGTTCTTGCCTGCCAAGTGAGGTCCGGATGTATAATACTTGCTCCACTCGCCAGCCTTTTCGCCGCTGGGTGTTTCTAGGAGGATGGTCTTCAGCTCATCAAATGAGACGTGGCGGCCATGTTCGTGGTGAGGGTGGTGCTGTTGGGGATCAAAGGAAAAGGTCCACAAAAAGACGAGCAGCAAAGCTACTAGAGATGAGCCCAAGGCGACGCTGCAAAAGCGCCTCACGGTCTGGTGCGGGTAGCGCCGTGGCACCTCCCCAACCTTGACCGTGGTGATCAGTGGCGTCCGCTCACTCGGCATCTTCCCCATGGTCGACGCCGGTCAGATGTAATCGTGTCTGCCGACTACTTTTGTCTATGAGATGGTGCTAGGTGATGTTTCTAGAGATTCTGATTATGAGGGAGAAAAGTGAAGGTGTGAATTTGCCGCTGCGCGGTGATGTCGTTGTCTTGCCGTGGTGCAGCGGGACTAGTTGGCTTATCATTGGCCACCAGGGTCCGACGAAATCCGTTGACGACCGGGGTACGGATAGTCCTTGTCGGCGGTGGTCCGTCGCGACAGACGGCTTTCGGGGCAGTTGTACAGAGTGTATAGGCGTCTAGCAACTCAGACTATGGTCGGCGGCATTCAATACCCGGCGCGTGGATATAAGATAGTCTATGTGACTTCTGCTTCGATGGAGAACTAGTATTACTAGTTGGATGGGAGCTAGGTACGATCACATCTACAATCATCTGTCTGTGCCGCCGATGACGATTTGAGGCAAGAAGCTCGGGCCAGTGGCCGCACCGACCTGCCAGATCCGACGCTGGGGTAGGTGTGGGAATCGCAGCAAAAAACGCCATTGCATTTGCAGAAGACGCAATTTGGACCACTTAAATTCGACTTGGAAAAGAGTCGAGACATGTTTTGAATTCTCAAGGATTCTAAACAAGCAAGGCTCTTCGAGGACTTTTGTAGTTTACTGCAAGGAAAGCAATTTTATGCAATTAATTGCAGCCATTACTAACATTTCCAGTAAGTGTCCATCGGCAAAATCTGCAATAACAACCGCCATATCTTGCATTTTATGCGAATTACATAAGAAAAAGTATATAAATACCTGGATAATATATTCTATATTTTTCATGACGTTTCGTCTGGATTGCACTATTTGTATCAAGCAGCCCATGGGATAGCACATCCTGCCTTGGTATGCAACACGATTATATACGCCACAAGCATTTTTCACAAAGAAAAACTATCCCACATCATCGTACCCTGTAGACAGTGGCAGCGACAGGCAATAATATCCATCAATTATGCTGTGAAATAGTTTATATTATTACAGTCAGCTAATCATCAAAGCGTATGCCCATGAAATGATCGTCTTCTGGGCGTCTTGTTTGGGATGCTTCAAATTCCATAGGTCACGAGAGTTGACGTGACAACCACTACTGTGTACATTGTGGTGCGTGAAGCACTCGTAGGTAGGTAGGTCTTCTGTGAGTGTGCTGCGAACCAGGCGCAAACTGCGCCGGAATTGAGCGTGGGAACTGCAGGCCAATGCGGGGTGCCGGATCCGCATCCAATAAGACGAAGCCCAAAGTCAGGGTAAAAGTGGATACTGGAGGCCACTTGATCCTCCGCCTCACTGAATCCTCCATCTTGTGACTTCCTCCAACATGGGTAATGGAGGCTTGTCATATTATTCTTCGGCCGGCATCGTTCGTTGTCGCTATCTTTTATGACCATGTTACAGCCGCTGCAAGTATCGGCCGCCTGCTATGACGCGCCGGGCGGTGTTTGGCACTTATTAACGAGGAGTCACCGTCCGACAGCGGACCTAAACAAGCAAAAAGGACCAACGCCAAAAGGCTCACTCAGCCCTTAGGCGGTTAGTCCCTTTGCGCATACACGAGCCTCGTAGTGATCTCGATTTGCTTTTCCATTCGGAACAACAGAACTTTGTCTAAATAGCAATATCGTTACTTACAGTCAAAAGATCAAGATGCATACAAATAACTACAAATCATACTCTATATGTACGTATATATGTTGGGCAAAACTGCAGAAGAATAATACATGTAATAAGCGAGATACGCCGCCCTCTCTGTGAGTTAACCCTTGCCCCCGGAAATGCAGTGGCCATATCTAGGAAAACTCTGCCACCCACGATCAAAAACAGCGGCCCACCACACTCTCTATGCCTGCTTACCCAAATAAGTGATTGTCTCGTGCCCAGCGAATGAGAGTCGAGCCGCGGCGCTTTTTGCAGTTTTACTCAAAAGATCAACCTGCTACAATTTTGGGTCTAGACTGCCTTTGTATGCAGATGATGGACCTAGATGGATGGGACCGGTGCCCATACACCCGGGACCCATTATTTGATCATTATGGAAAGTCGGTCGGGAAGCGCTTGCTACTTTTTTTTTATCCTGCCTCTTTTCTCGTTCTCCCCTCCGAGTTGTTTGTTGAAAACTTCCTCGCAACTTGACTCTTTCTCTGTAGCCGCTGATTTACCTCAAGAAGCTAATACTTTTTATCTGGATTCATAACATATCCGTTCGAGATATTCCAAATCCTGATAATTCTTGTCGGTTTGTGCATGATCTACCTATTCCAGGCTAGGATAAGTGCTTGGCTCTCACGACAACGACACGATACGGCAGTAGTGTGCCCCATCTGCCATCACCCGTCGATTTCTACTCGCCGTCAACATGGATCCGGACAGTCAGCGGCCCAAATTGCCAACAAAGCAGCTCGCCATTCTGGGTAAGCAATTTGCAATATCTCCTATGTAACTACAGTACCTACACACATTACAAAGTATTCTGCCCTACGCCAGTTGCTGTCGCGTGCTACTTGAAGCCGATAGAGAAACGCCATGGTACCGATATCAAGGATCGGCTTCAAACTCATCCATTCAACTTACCCTGTCGGTTGTATTCTTGTCTCAATATATCTCTTGCTATAAAGTTCCTCGGCTTATTTGGGCACTCCTTTGGCCATCCCGTATATACATGTGCAAGTTTGCATTCTGCTGTTCACCGTTTGGTTCAATGTGACTGTGGCTATACATGACGCACTCTCATCAGACACAGCATAGGGATTCGAATTTTCGCGGGCAACAAGAGCAAGAGCGGCTCATCCATCCACAGAGACAGATGATTCAAAAACATGACCAGGTACTCTCAAACTCTATTGCAATCATGCTAACATAAATTCCAGCTGTGGCGCGTTTCGCTGAACCGTTGGCCCTGACCTCGGTGTTCCCTTACCTCCCCGAGATGATTGCCAGTTTCGGCGTGGAGAAGAAGGAGATCGCAAAATGGGCCGGTGCCACGAGCGCAGTCTTTTCACTTGCCCAGAGCTTGACTGCTGTTCCTTGGGGACGGGCCTCGGACAAGGTTGGAAGAAAGCCCGTCATCATGATCGGGCTGCTCTGTACCATGACTTGCTTTCTGATTTGGGGTGTCTCAACGAGTCTTGCCATGGCCATCACTGTTCGAGCAATTCAAGGAGCAAGTAACGGAAATGGTCAGTATTTTATCTAATTAGCTATCGAATCGCAAGGCTAACTTTGTCTAGTCGGAATCATCAGAACCATGGTGGCCGAGATGGTGCCAGAAAAAGAGCTGCAGCCAAGAGCGTTCTCCATTATGCCCTTGGTCTGGAGCATAGGATCAATCTTTGGTCCTGCCTTTGGTGGATTCTTTGCCAAACCTGCCGAGCGATTCCCCTCAATATTCGGCAATATTGAATTCTTCAAGGCTTATCCCTTTGCTCTGCCAAACATACTCGGATCAATCATATTCCTCGTTTCCGTCACGACCGGCACTCTTTTCCTGAAAGAAACACTGGCAAGTAAGCGTGACACGAAGGATTGGGGTCTGGTGCTCGGTGAGCGGATCAAGGCAGCTCTCCCAGGACGGCAACCTAAGCGGACGAGACGCTATTCATTCCAGGACGATGAGGCTTCAGCACCGTTATTACGCTCAGACATGTCTCGACAAGCCAATTCGAAATCAGCTGCCAAACAAGCACCCCCAGCACCGCCATCGTATCGTTCAGTCTTTTCACGGCAGTCCGTCATTAATTTGATCTCTTATACCTTCCTGGCCCTTCACTCCGTCGCCTATGATCAAATCCTTCCTGTTTTCCTCAACTACCCGCGCGACGAACATGACCCAGCTGATTTCCGACTCCCCTTTGTCTTTACTGGAGGCTTTGGTATGAGTTCAGGAAGTATTGGAACTATTTTCACCGTTTACGGACTAGTTTGTGGTTTGATTCAGGTAAGCATCCATTGCCAATTAGTCCCGTCCGAAGCGGTCGCCTTTGTGAAATAATGATCGTGCTGACCATTATCATAGTTCCTGATATTCCCCCCATTATGTTCCTACTTTGGTGTTTTGAACTGCTTCAAGGCGTGTGCCGTCACATTTCCACTTGTGTACATCGTGACACCATTCACAACTCTGATTGAAGACGAGACTACGCGCGTGTGCATGCTGCTAGTAGTCATGTCGGTGAAAGCCTGCTGCGTCATCATTGGTTTTCCCTGCACCACCATCTTGCTCACAAACAGTGCGACAAGCCTGAACATTCTCGGCACTCTGAATGGATTCGCGACAACTTTCAGTGCTTTGGGCCGTGCCTCGGGACCAGCATTGGCCGGTGGTGCTTTCACTTGGGGTGTGAGAAATGGTATAATTGCCATTCCGTGGTGGCTCCTCGCTGTTATTGCAGCGATTGGAGCGATTCCGGCTTGGTGGATCGAGGAGGGCGATGCACCATCAACATCTGCAGCTGCTTCTACCCCAGCATCCGACTCGGATGCTGATAGCCAAGAGACCGTCATCGAGGACAATCGCACCACCAGTCCCGAAGCATCGAGGTCGCGGGCCATTGTCTTTGCTGATGGTGCGGACCAGTTGAATGCTCGAGAGGATGATTCCGTGATTCATGATCCTACAGGTCATGATGACCTGCCCCTCGTGGGAAGCATGCGTAGCAATAGCGGCATGGACTATGCCGGCATGACAAGACAGGGAAGCATATCGAAAAATTCTGGGCCAAGCTATGGGTCCATCAAGAACTAATCTATGTATACCGTTCCGACGATTGCTTCTAGCACACTCAACATAAAAGGAGGTGGGATATTTGGAACCTGATAAATGGTTCAAGCGTGATGGGGATTGCTTTTTTGCACGCATTCTGATGGCGTTACTGCGGCACTTGGCCAAATTTGTTCATATTTCGTCATTTCCGTCTTCATGGGGCATATAGTTTTGGTTTTCGCAATTAAGATCATTGGTGTATTTACACCTTGCCACTGAACTTGCAGCGGTACTCAGGATTTAGGTAGGACCATAGAATAATAATTGATGATATACTTTTGCGTCGTTTGATCAACCTTTTGTTTCTTTTTTATTTTGTCTGGCAATCATCTTAATTTTTCTTTTCAATTGAAATGCTGCAATAACGTGGAGCATAACGCAAAGGCTCTGCCTGTTGAAAATTTACCGAACATTGTCGGAGAGTTGCTTACGAATCTAGGATTCTAAACTCTCCGATATTCATCCGTCTTGCAAAAGGGACGCGCGATAGGTGCTACCTAGCACAATAAAGCCCATGAATGACTGCATTCCCACCCCGGGATACCATTAATTTATTCAGTGTCTGGTGGATTTAGGTATATATGTAGGCGTAGCCATTCCTTATTCACGTCTTGATGACGAGTATTGCGCCCAGCACTTTTGGGGGCCATAAATCATTCTAGCAATTTACTCTACCTGCATTGTCGCATCCAAGACTATTGTCGACAATGGCTCAACTTCCCACCACCATGCGCTCACTTATAGCGCCCACGCCGTGCAAGCCCAAGGATTACGATGTTGTCAATCTGCCAGTGCCTGTGATCCAGAAACCGGATGAGATTCTCATCAAAGTCCACGCGGCAGGTTTCATGACGGGCGACTCACTGGTTGCTGCCGGGAGCTTGAATTTCTTGCTCAAGAACAAGTAAGATATGATCAATTTCAACCAATGTGTCAAACCCCATCTACTCACAATTTGAAACAGGTATCCCATCAAGCTAGGCGTCGGAGGCGCCGGTGTTGTGGTCGCTGTTGGGTCTGCCGTCACCAAGTTTCAACCCGGCGACGCCGTGTACGGCGGCGCCATGAGCCAGCCCATGACCCTCTCCCCGCCTCCGGGCTTCTGTTCCGAGTACTGCATCGGGCGCGAACGCTATCTCCTGCCCAAACCCCCAGGCGTCTCGTTCGAGGAGGCCGCGGGCTTGCTGGGCAACACCCTCACGGCGGTCGAGTCCCTCGAGCTCGGCGCGGCGCTCCTGTCCGAGCGTAGCGGCCGGTCCCTCGAGGGGGCCACGGTCTTGGTCCCGGGCGCGCTGAGCGCCACGGGTCACGTCGCCCTGCAGCTGCTGCGCAACGTGTACGGGGCCGGGCGCATCGTCACGACGGCGTCGACGGCCAAGGTGCCCCTCGTCGAGGAGCGCCTCGGGTCCGGCATCGTGGACCAGGTGGTCGACTACACGGCGACGCCGCGCCTGACCGACGTCGTACCCGCGGGTTCCGTTGATTTTGCCTATAATACGCAATTCACCGCGCTCACGACCCTCGTACCGCTCCTTAGGCCTGATACCGGTGTCATTGTGTCCGTTGCCAGCATGTTCCCATCGCGGATCCTGAAGCTGAATTTTCCATCGTTGCCGTTTTGGTTGGGCTGGGCGGCCGACCTGGTGAATCTGTGGTATCACTACTGGATGCTCCGGGGTACTAATGTTGTGCTGGACCAAGTTTCCGGTAGTCTAGAGAAGCCGGAGATTGTGAAAAAGACTGCCGACGTGATTGCCCAGAAGAAAGTCAGATGTGTCATGAGGGTTGTGCCTTTAAGTGATCTCGACGCTCTAAGAAAGGAATGCGAACAGGTATATACGGGTAAAGGCGGTATTGGTAGTCTTGTAATCAAAATGGTGTAGAGACTAAGTATTCATGTATATGATTGACGAGCGGTTTCTTCTTTTCCAAGTGCAATTAAGCTATTGAAAAGAAATATTTCATTTGCCCTGTTTTTATTGTGTGTAAGACTAATGTCGACGGGACTTGGATATCGTACCACTATGCGATCATTTATAGTGCCCAGCCATGCAATCGTTATTCATCATGGACACCAGAGCATTATCAGCGTCATGACTGCGAGATGATCCAGCTAATTTATCTGCATAATAAGTCACTCAACATCGAAGCACCTTATGTTACAGGCGTCTCGATCGATTGAGACACGAAATTTAATACCTATATACATAAATAGGCAATGCATAAATCACGTGATGCACCGCGCATAAAAACTTGTCAAAGCAGGAAATGGCGCGCATAGAGCTTGTATGCCTGTCGCCTCCTTCTAATCTATTTCTTGTATCTCTAACTTTGTCACGTTTCCCTTGCATTCACCTTTATTTTTTTTATTTTTATTTTTTTTTAAATACATGGTAGTAAGATTTAATCATCCCGCCCCCACTTGGCGAGTCTCAAGTCTCGGAGATAAGAGATGATGAGGGCCTCTAAAGGTCCATCAACCTCATGTCACGCATGCCGCTTGAGGCGTGCTAAGGTGAGCATTTTGCCCTCTCACTTTTCTGCCTTTCAGATCAACACGAGAGGTGAGCAAACATGGTCACAACCACAACTGACCAACGGCTGGCTGACTCTAAAATCTCGGAATTAGTGCGACAAGGTAAAACCAGGCTGTTCGCAATGTGCACGCAAGTTTCGCAAGTGTCCCGGATACCCTGACCTGGCAGAATTGCGTGTCAAGGACGAGACTCAAAGCGTCGTGAATAAAGCTCAGATCAATCGCTATAGCTCCTTTGCGGATCTTCCCAGGACCAGAAATACTAATCATGACGTCAAAATAAAAGGGGAGTTCAGTTTCAATTTGGCCATTCAGGCTGCTCCCTCACAAGACATCGAACATATCGCAACTGCATTCTTCCTTAAATCATATGTACCGATATCTAGCTTCTCTGCGATTCTACTGTCTCCTTCCAACGAGCTCTCAGAATTAAGATCCGATGCCCTCAAGGCTGCTTCTTTGGCATATCTATCGATTTTCGTCGCTCCGTCTTCTTACTCGCCAGTTCTCAAATGGGCCACCGCCTCGAAATATGGGATCGCTCTCTCACACACAAACCACTCGCTCATGTACTCCGGGTCTGCAATTCAGGATGATACTCTCCTTGCAGTCCTACTCCTAGCCCTCTCGGAAGCTTTCAGTGTGCAAGGTTCAGTGAGCTGTGCTGCTTGGTTGACTCATACAAAAGGCATCCGGACCCTGATCTCTATGCGGCGGAGACAACTTCCACAGTATTCGGGATACAGTCGAGAGCTTGATAAATTGGCCGCGCAACAAATATGTGCTGCCTGCTTACTGGCGACAGAGCCAAGCATGTCCCAGAGAGAGGCTGTGATGAAACAAAAGAAAACAGATGTGGTCATTGGGCCGGCACCAGAAAGGCTGCTTGACCGCCTCATTGCCTACCAGACAGCTTTACAGACGGTTGCAGGAATAGACAGACACATGGTGCTCATACAACAGGCAGTTGAGCTCGATACCTACATTACATGCAGTAGGCTCAAGCCGTTGCCTCACAATACAACATCGTGGCCGGAATATATGCTTGCTCTCAAGTCACGATTCGGAATACATATGATGCGACTTTTCCTCAACCAAAGCCTGTATTCCCGGATAACACGAGTACTATTCGAAAACTCATACTCGGAGGGCCAAATCCTCGATCAGATGACTACGGTGCGCCATTTGTGCAGAAAAACAATACAAGAGATTGCCTCCGAGATCTTGGCCGTTATGCCAGTTCTGTTGGGATGCTCAAGGGAAGAGGTGGGCTTGGCTTTAATGGCACGTCGCTTGCTATGGCCAATGGCCTTTCTCGCAAACTCGGAATCCTGCTCGTCCTCACAGCGTTCATCTCTTCGCACGCATATTACGGAACTGATACAAAGATGGAATGTGCTTCCGGCAACAGAGGTGATCGAAATGCTAGAGAGGCCTTCAGGCCCTCAAGATTGGTATGAAAATCTTTTGTACAAGCAATCACTCGGAATATCTAACCCACCTTTTAGGCTCCTTTTATGTCACGTATTTTGAAGACAATGCGAATAGAACAATCTTTCGATAAGCTACAGGGATTTATCACATAATCTTAATTTTTCTCGTGATTCTTTAGGCATCTATTGTAAAAAACATGCCGCTTTCTTCTTCTCGTGAAATCTGCGCCACAACTCGGTCCATCTCCTATCCCCACCCTCCTTACTCGTGCCTAAGGGTAAGGTACATTGGTACTTATTTTCGAATAACTTTCCGTATTAGGAAAGGGCCGGAATTATAGACCATCACATTGGGCGTATCATGTCAACTCATATAAGAAGAAGACTTGAGCAAAACGGCATTTCTCCTGGTTGTTTTCCTGGATAAGCCGATTAATTGAATAATTCATATCGCAGAGGATTGCTAAGCTTTTCCAATTCATCGGTCGACTCTTCTCCTTCTATACCTTTATACTCGTCTTTACTTCCATCAAAATGCCTCTCGACGGAAGAGCCTATGTTTCCATTGCGGAGCTGGTAATATACCTTCCTCTGACGCTTGCGGCAGTTTCGGTGTGTAAACGCCATGGCTTCGAACGCTCCTCTGGCTGGATTTACATCATAATGCTTGGCATTATCCGTGTCATTGGCGCCGTGTGCAACCTTGTTACCTACAGCAGTCCTTCTGTCGGTCTTTACACGGCTGTCTTCACGCTTGATTCTATTGGTATATCGCCAATGTTGTTTGCCACTTTAGGGCTTATATCTAGGTTGTAAGTAATCTGGCCTTGAGAATTCTGTATCCAAACATTCGATTTTCCAAAGTAGAGCCACCTAACATCAAAACCAATGCAGGTTTCGTTGGACCCAAGCCCTTTCTAATACTCGTGCCCGTTCCAAACAGTTCCGACTTGCTCAATTGGTTTTTACCGCTGGCTTTATCCTCAGCATTGTTGGCGGCGTCACGACGCAAAACACTACAGATCCCAGCACGATAAGCAGAGTCGCTATTCTTCTCTACCTCCTCGGATTCATTGTATGCGCCGGCTTTGAGGCTACAGCATGGACGAACCTGAGTCACCACCAATCTATACCAGCTGCGGAGCGCAACATTGTCTTTATCGTTGCGGCTGCACTACCTCTGATCCTCATACGCATCATCTTCTCACTGTTGGTCGTCTTTGTACATGATTCGACATTCAGCATCGTTCGAGGTCCGACAGGTGTCTATGTCGGCATGGCTGTGGTAGAAGAAGTGCTCGTCATGGTCATGTACACGATTGCTGGTTGGAGAGTTGGCCCGTTGGATGAAGCAATGAGCACAACCGCTTTGCTCGTACAGCACTGAAAGAGGGGTCTAGTTATTCAGGCCATCATTGTCTTGACTGTGTACAATATAACATATCTAGTGAAGTATCCATATAGATGGCCTGCTTAGACAATGAGAGCAGAGATTAGCAAGCCATTTTCATCATCGACGTGTTCTATGTTTTTGAACGTTTTCAATTAAGTATGACTATCCAAGACTATCTCCAAAACGGCTGACAAAGAAAAGAAGGATGAATATCTGTTTTGATGCAAAGGGAACTGCAATGTGAATGCGCAATACCCCTAAGCTCGTGATGCCAAAAAGTCTGCATACATAAATCTTTGCCACGATACGAGTGCTAAATGTCCCGTGAGGATGCTGCACGCTATCTCGTACAATTTAATCCAAGATCAAAGCCACTCTAGTGTTACAAAATCTCCCCAACCTCTAGTACTGTAAGCTTGATTAATTCGGCCTCAGTGCAGAGTAGTGGTTGCTGGAACCAGCAGAGCCCCAGACCGCTTGAATTTCGGCAATCGTCAATGACGCTCCTTTCTTCTTGGCAATGACAGCATTCTCTGCCGCGATAAGGGCGTCGATACCGGCCTGTTGGGCATTGTTCTGAATCCAGACGGTGCCGGTGGGGGTGCCGTGACTCGCCGGGATGCCCAGCAGCACGTGCGACATGGAGGTGGCGGGCGCGTAGACACCGAGCTGGTAGACGCGGCCGCGCGCGAGGGCCCAGTCGAGCAGCGTCGAGGCGGCCTGGTCGCTGCCCAGCTCGTTCATGTTGGTCAGGCCCGTGATGGTCCGCTGTGTCTGGATCATGCTGTCTCGCGGGTGCTGGAAGTGGTCGTACAATTCCGCAATGGTCGGCGCCGTCTCGGCTGGGTATTGCGCCTGTATACTACCAATGATGGCGTAGAGGGCACAGAGCAGTCTGTTGCCGCTCGTCGGCAGCATGGCGTAGCCTCGGGGGAAGATGGCGTTGAAGTCGGCCCTAGCGGCGTCGAGGCGAGCCTGGGCCGCGGCGCTCAGAGGCTTTGTGACCGGCCGTGAGGCTCCTCCCCCGAGCGCTGATGTTTTTCCAGTGATGTAAAAATTCCCCGTGGTCATCTTTGCACCGCGCGCCATCCTGCCCCAGACGTCTAATCTCATGACATCCTCGAGATCGGGCACGAGTCTAATTCTCCACGTGCCATTCTTCTTCCTGGACGTCCGGACAATCTCGTTACCATCGCTGCGCAGGTGAGACGGAAGAATGTTGTCGGCATCTTCCCATTCTACGTCATCTGCGTCGCTCTCACTATCGCCACTGTCGCCGGCGGTGATGGCTCCTCGTGCTATAGTGCCTCCATGGATGATCTGCCTCTTAGGCACACGCCCATCCGAGGCCATAAAGGCGGTGGGGACCTTGCGCTTCAAGTCCAGGCCCACAGAGGATGGAGTCTTGGTCAGGTCCATGTCTGGCAAGAGAGATACGCGCTTGGGAGGAGGAGTGATCCAATCTGCCATGTGGCCAATGATATCACCAAGACGGTTGCTCCTCTGATACGTTGGATCCAGAACTGTTTCTCATGGTTAGTCGTAACATAAGGAGCAAACTTAGCAGTAAAGACTCACTCTTCTCAAGTTCCTGACTGATCTTGACCTGCTGCAACAAAGTATCTCCCATGGGGAACACTGCAGGTCCGGGTATGAATTGCTGCTTGATTCGGGCGATTGGCTTGAATGCTGCGCCTGGCATTACAGCGCCACCACTAATGGTCTTGCTCGAAGGTTGCACACTGGTTCCAGGAGGCGCAACGTAGATCTGCCAGCCTGGTCCAAAGTTGTCGGTGGTCTCAACAATCTTGACAATCTCCTTCGATAGGTATCGTACGAGTTGGCCAGCAACATTCGATTTGTCTGGGTCGGATATCAGTCCAACCAACCGCGACACGACATCACTGTTTGCGGGAACCATTTCCGTCGGCCCAACCTTGATGCCGTACTTGAAAAAGGATGCCACGGGCTGTATACTTGGATCCTCATCACGACGCTCGATAATGGTCGTTCTGGTTGTCTCCTTGGTCTGCTTGCTCACCGGCCACCGTTGCATGTCGAAGTACCGCTTCCGTCGGTACGGAGCGTGGCGCTCTCGAACTTCCTCCTTTCCAAAGCTCCAAATGTTGGCTCTCTCAAAGAACTCAAACATTTGTGAGTGTTTATCCGTAAAGACGGTCCGCCGACTGGGGTACAGCATGACACGGTCCTGGACCATGTCTTCAATGATACCTCCACGGATGACTTCAAAAATCTCCGTGGCGTTCTTGCTACCCGCTGCCGGGTGTTGCTCGTCTGCCTTCGCAATCACGGTATTGGCCGAGGCCAGTTTTATGGGAATAAAGGCTCCGTTGGCCGCCGCAGGGTCGAGCCATAGCTTCTCAACGTGCTTCTTCCATTCCCTGAGGGCAGTGTTACAATGTGTGCGCTTCAGGGCTGACTGTCTTGAGGTTCTCTTGACCAAGTCACGATACGACCTAAGGGTACGACCCATGCGGTAGGCCAGGTTACGCAAGAACTGGGTCGTCTTGGTCGAGTAGCCCGTATCCCGGTTTACGACGGTCTTGTAGTCGCAAAGATCTTCCCATGATGGACAATCGCGTCGGGCTTGTACGCTGGTTGCTGGAAATTCTGGGCCCTGCTTCCAAAATCTCTCGACGATGTAGCGGTTTCTCCACGTTTGGTACGGGAGCTGGTCGGTGTGTATGGCTGCCCGATTGCGTGCCATCATAACGTTTGCATACTCCTCACTATTCTTGGCGTTTGCGGCATCGACCGCAGCCTGGTCTCTGTGGCGCCAGCGTATGCGCTCCTCTGCGTACCTCAATGGATTGCCTTCGCTGTCCGAACTTGATTCGACGTTGAAGTTGTCGTGCGCGTCTACACCGGGCGGCACTGAGACAATGAAACCGCCGGCCGACGCAAAGTTGGGGTCCGGATAGCCGTAGAGCATGCCCTTGCCTGACCACCACTGGCCGTCTTTGAACCCAACAGGGTTTTCCGGACGCTTATAACTATTTAGAATGTCAGCCACAGACGCCGCAGCAGATGAATCAAGGAATATCCCAACTTACGAAATGCGGCCCATCTCTGCCAATTGTGAACAATACACCTTTAGCTCCTTGAGACTGAACTGGTACAAGGCATTTGGTAATGGTGCCCCGTTGAGCTCAAATTTCGGAGGCGTATGAAACACGGTGACAAGATCCTTTTCCCACTGACGACTGGCAACTTCCTTACCTCCAAGATTGATCATAGGTAGCAGATGTTCCAGAGCAATCTGTCTAGGCCTGTAGGTAGGCCTCTCATCGCCCTTCCTGTGATCAGCTACCCAGAAGGGATTGTTGTGAACGTCCGTCATCAGGGCTTGCAAGCGATTATCCAGAATGATGATGAGGGGGTCCTCGGGCTGGGTAACGGATAGGCCACAGAGAGCTTTGCTGGTGGGCGGCAAGCAAAATATCTTGAGCCATGATATGTCTGTATCATCCACAAGTTGGAATTTGTCGTCTCTTCCGGTCACCAAGTCAATATTGGGTCGGGGGATAACTTCGTCTGAGAGGGGTTCTCCTGCTTCACCTGCCCTCATGTCTGCAAGGCACCACGTCAGCATCTGACGGCTGTTGGTCTGCTCCAGTTTTTCCAGCACCGCCTTGAGCGCAACCAGCTTCTTGCCTACGGCCAGCCAATGCTTGTCCCAGACGTTCTTGTCGTCAAACGTGTACGGGCCGCGGTAGTTGACGGGCAAATGGATGCGCTTGAAGTCTTTCCAGTAGCGTTTCTGATACTGCTTGCGGCTCCAGGCCGAGAGGTAGTCGGCTTGCTCGCGCCACTGGTTGTACCAGTAGACCCAAGGCGATGGCTCATACTCCTTGTGCCGGTCCACGTCGAACGTGTGGGTGTCGTCGTTCCACTTCTCCCGGCGAGGCAAGGCCATGGCGCTAAAGTGAATGTCCTTGAACTTCTCAGGCTTCTTGGGGAGAACTACGCGCCTCCATGCGCTACCAATCTCCCTGTTCTCGCTATTGTCCATGATTGCCAGGACCTTTTGGATCAGTACGCGCCTCAGGCCGCGCTCAACGGCGAACCTCTTATCGTCCTGCAAGGGCAAAGCCTGGATGTCATGTCCGAACTTGAGATTGGCCGGTATGCTTTGTTGCATCAGGCGCTCGTATATCTTGTTTTCAAATTGCGCAAGGTTGATACCCTTCGAGTTACCGTTCCTCTGCAGCCACGGATGGGTCTCCCTCCAGCGCTTTTCCTTGGTATTGGGTTCTTTTGCCCACAAGTCCGCGTGCACGCTGAAATTTCTATAGTCTCCGTACATTTCCTGGGCCTCCTTTCGTTTGAAGAAGTACTTCCAATCCAGTCCTCTCTTGAACGACATGAGTTGAGGCTGGAACGGTGGGTCCATGACCTGGTCTGGCCGGGGAACCAAGGAGGTGTACGTTGGCGGCGGCCTTGGTTTTTCATCGCAGCACGGGTCAGGCAAGTCTCGAGTATACGGCGCCATGCGCGTTGGAAATGTCAACCTTGGCGTCCGCATGGTGGTGAAGCGATAGGGTCCCTTGACCCGGGCACAGTACCGTTCGTGCACCTCGAGCAGCATCTTGGCTTCATTGAATATGTCCGTCAGGGCGGTATCAAAGATTGGGTCTTCTTCTTTCCGATAGAAGTCGGCATCTGCCAAAAGATCTTCGTAGCCCGCGACCGCCGTCGGCCATGTGGCTGCGTTGTAGTCATTTTCCTGGCGAAGGCGAAAAACAGCAACCGGGAGTTGAGCTTGCACCTGGGCCGGGGTACGTCTTGTTGCTGCCATGGTGGCCAACCCGCCCAGAATACTGGGGTTTTCCTACTTCTCAAGGCCTAGATGGATATTCGAGCTCCAAAAGTATCTTGCGCGTTGGCGGCAGCCAGATGTCATTCGATATCTTCTGCGTGCGCGCCCACTCGAAATGAATGCTAGGTGGATGCGCGAGGGAGTCGCGCGACTGGGCTAATTGGGCAGTCTTCTGAAGGAGAAGAAAAGAATTTTAGAAGGAGGGAAGACGTTTGCGAAAGTCCCAATGCGACAATATGTTTTGAACAAGGCGCATCTCCCACGAGCTTGCCCAGGATTTCTCAGGGTTGCCAGGGAAGGAAATGAGCACATTCCAGAGCCATCCCTTGGGTATTTTGCGCCCAGAACGTAAATCTCACCAAAACAAAGAATGCGGCGGTTCTTTTCTGAGACCAGAGTCTCTCGCATGAGGAATGGGACAATGAGTGAGACAGGTGTTCTGCAATATCTGCTTCCGGTCGTCTTTGTTCAGAATCCAGACCTGAATGAATAGGTATACTGACAGTTTTCACATCCAGTAAGCCAGGGTGGCATTGCGACCATTCGACAAGGACGAATTTCCAATGATTCAACCCATTATTTATCGACGGAGGGATCAAGGTCAAAATGTCTAGTCCTCTAGAAGATCAACCTATGGGGCCAAGACGAAGCGCACGCATACAGCGGCGTCAGGGGTCGACGTCAAATGGGCAATCCGACACAAGAGAACAGATGAGAAGACAAACCAGGGTTGAATATCTCGAACGCCTTTATGATAGTGAATCTGGCTCTAGAGACAAGGAACGTCCAATTCTTACACCAATCGTCGGAGAACCCGTATTTCGAGACCCCCGTAAAACACAGAATGAGACTCAGACCACAGAGCCAACTCAGCCAGAGGAGTCGAAAGCTGTAGAATTCGAAGAGATACAAACCACGGCTGAAAGTGACGAGAAGCCGTGGGAGACACTGGTAATCGGCGCTCCACTGGGCGATAATTTGAGCAAGATTGAGTACAAAGATCGTGAAATCTTGCAACAAAAGTTTATAGTCGAATGGACGACGCGATGTGAGCCTGATAGTACCGATGCTCAGCAGCAACTCCTCGAAGAGATGATTGAAGAGAAGGACTCTATGGAAGCGGATCCAAACAGCCACTTGCCTTTGTAAGTCTATTCAGACAAGTCCTTCCGTCATTGATCCTCTTTCATTCTGACTCAAACCACCATAGTGATGAGCTTCAGGCGGCAACTGAAGCACCCAAGAGATTAAATACACTACGTTACGCGTTACAGGAGCCTGAATACCAAAATCAGAGGGAAAACATCGAGGCCGCCATAGAAGGATACGAATCAGGCCGTATACAGTGTTCGGAAAACTACACTCTGTTGTACGCCGGCAAGATTGTCGACACCTGCACTTCATATCAGGCTTTCGTGGTTGACAGAATGGAGAGGCTAGACCGATACTATGAAGAACTGGGTGCTGGCTGTCTTTGGTGGGAACCACCACTAACAGGATCTGAGCGCAGGGCAATCGCCAAGAAGGGGTTCTGTCTTCAACAGGAGAAAAACCCAATGACAGGACTTCCCAAATCGAATTTCAATGTTGGCGCCTGGGCGATAAATATGAGATTCATTGTCGATGAGAAGAAAGTGCTCCGAGGGCCGGTAAAATGGGGAAAGTCATCAACATATAAAAAGTCCCGTCCGTATGCAGACGAGCTGCGTTCTGCCACTTTCCGCATGATGCTGGACACTGGTGCAACTTACCCAATGCTCACTGACCATGACTTTAAGCATCTTGGAATTCCAGATTTTACAAAGAACTACGCGCCACAGACGGTACTCGATCTGGAAACCGCCAATGGAGAAGTAGCACTCCCGCATTACGAATTGGAAGTCGGAATAGGTGCAAGCCTGAGCAGAAAGACATGGCATGAGGCAGCTAGGCCGACAGGTTGGCCACATGAGGCAGGAATTCTTGGATCACTTTATCCAGTCGGAATAACCAAGCACAAAAAGTCTAGTGATCGCTGGACACAGCGCTTGAGTAGCCTTCTTCCGTTCGTGGCTTGCTACGTATCTTCCGCTCCCAATACGGGAGAGATCTGGATGGGCGAAGACCGTAGAGACGTTGTTGGCGCACGAAGGCTTCCTCCCTTTCAGCGACTCACCACCAAAGGAGCATGGGGTCACGAACGGCCTCCCGGTTTTGCCAAGTACGAAGACATCGTCCACCGCCTCGAGGAGCCCGATGAGGTGATATTCGTGCACAATTTCTGGGACCCTAGTAAAGCAGGTCTACAACGTCATTTCTTTGAGCACGAAGACAAGGCAACCAACAAGTCAACGTATGGATTAAGCGACATGATAGGTTCTGTCAAGGCGTACCCGGAGGCTGTCACCTTCGGACCTCTTCCGAGTAAACCATGAGTTCCAAGTTTCATCGCGATTATCTCTCTCCAGGACAAAGAAACGACGACGGGAGCACGTAGCAGGGTAAAAATAGAAGTATGTCTCATAATGGGCGTTAACTTAAGCTGACAAACCTGAAACGAAACTTTCAAGCTCTGTAACATGATGAAATATAGAAGCATTTGATTCCACGACATACTTTCTCAAACTCTGACTTTGATTGATGACCACAGCAGCTGCATATAGAAAACTTTTCACGGTAATTGCCATAACAAAGCAGTGGCACCATCAACGTTTTTTTAACCCCCTTCAACTGGCGGCTATCGAGGTAGACGCCACCACGATACTCACCCCATAGGTTTATATGGCATGTTGAAATCTAATGCGGAGCCTCACAGGCTTGTCCTATGTCAGTGTATCTCATATTGATGAAGTCAAGTAAGGATACGAAGCCTCGTCAACCACCTGGCAGGCATTACCATTGGTCCCGTTCCCAACCAGCTGGGTACAGCATACGCCTCGCTGGAACGTCTGCACGTTTTGCACGTCCGTCATGCACAAGAAGCAAGCAAAAGATCTGTCGTGGGCACTTCAAACCCCTCGTATCTGCTCGATGATCGAAAAAAATAAATACAACAAAAAGAACTTGCTGAACCTAAAATTTGGTATCGGTCTCCATTGGCCAATGAGTCCTGTAGTTCTATAAAAGCAAAAAAGGGGGTTGCATCAACACTGCTCAAGCGAGATTCCCATGGTTCGCTATCAAGAGGTCTTCTCGGATCCTACAGAGAGAGAAAGCAAAAAAAAAAAAAAAAAAAACAAGCGCGCGGGAAATTTGACAGGCGATCTTTTGTCTTGGCAGATGGATTTTGTTTGGTACTGTACAGTGTAGGACTCGAAACATGCGAACATGATAGATCCCGCCATATGACAAGCGACAGATCGAAATACTGTACATAACAATGACCCATCGGAATCCTTCTGCTTACAATGTGGGTTACTTCCTCGGCCGCGGTGGCGTTGGCAGTTCGTGTACGGCTGGCCAGTAGATCCGTTGTTGTTGGTCGGTACCTATGTAGGTGGGAATGAGGGACCCTTTTCGAACCTGATTCTCAAACCCAGCTCTTCTTTCCAGCTCGTCCAGGTTACCTAGCTAGTAATCGTCGTTTCGTCCTATGTAGGTGTGGTGGGCAATAAATCATGCCAGCGCACAGCGGGCACGAATTGCCATCTTGCATTCAGCTCTTGTGATCTATACCACGTTAAAATAATGGGCTGGAACTATTGCATTACTAGAATGGCATGGCATTCACAATTCTCATAGGGCTCCTGTTTGGCGCCCAGCAAGCAAAAGCCCGGAGATGAGAGGCAGCCCTGTTCGGCGACTCGGTTGGTGTGGCTGGGGGGGTTGAAGTACGGTAGCAGATCAGGAAAGACGTAATTCCTTTGCAGCTCGCCTCGAGCAACCCGCCTAGACCATATCCGGCCAGTCAGCTCTCACAATGGCGTGTCGAAACTCGACTTCTCACGCGTTAAGTGGTTCGTTCTATTTAAACTTTCTTCCAACTGTAGACCTTGACAAGAAAAAACCGGATCAGAGTGACCTGGTGCAGGAAGGATTCGAAAGAGAAAAAGGCCTACTTCCAGCCTTTCTCCTACATACTATTTCGCACCCCGCGATTAGGTGTTCCCACTAACAGACATGACGAAGACAAAAGACTGCCCGCTTTCGCCCAATTCCGACTTCCACCTTCTCGGAACGCGTCTTTTGGGATTCTGCCCCCTCACCCCTCAACAATGGACCCTGAAACATCAATCGGGGGCGCGTTGAGCAAGTGTATTGGGGTCTCGGCCCTGCTTGCTTACTGGCTGGGAACGCGATCCCAGGAAATCTTTTGCCCTTTCGCCAAACCGGATGGCGAAAATGCGACTGCGACCCCCCGCTCGCTCGCTCGGGCGTGGAGGTCCGCCAGCTCGGTATTATTGTCTGTGCAATTTCAATGTCCGTTTGCACACGGAGCAAAGTCTGTATTTGCATGATCGTCTGTGTCTGTCACCGGAAGCGGAAGCCATTACGAAAGAAGGATGTCTCTTTGCCGGGAAGAACAAAAAAAAAATCCAAGTGACGAAACCATACTTGATTTCTGCGGGTGCACATACACGCACACATACACGTACACATACACATACATGGTGAGATTTTTGGACGCAATCCGGATCGATGGAGTACGAAATGTTGCTAGTATGATGATGTATGTATGCATGCTCGTGGCGGTGCTTTCGTGTAAGGCGTAGGGACTAGGTTCGAGAATGCAAGGGGAGCCACTATAAAGTCCGACACTGCACACACGACACACTCCTCCTTGCTACTGTGTAAGCAGAGAAGCACGACATCCCACTACTGCTAGATGGGCAGAATCCCTCCTGCCTTAATCCCCTGCTATTACGAATGTGGGGTATTTACTCCGTCTACTGTACTGTATATGTCAGGTACCTTGGAGCTGCTGCTGGCTGCTTCTTGCTATATGTAGGTGTCGAGCTTCGTGTCGTGTTGAGTGGCAATATACGCATTTACCACCTTATCAGTGCATTATCAGTGTACTTTGCTGCGGTTGGGGCATTTGAGCGGATCTAAATTGTATCAATAGCCGCCGAGAGGCAAAAGCCATGATTTTGATCAAGACCCCGAAGCCAAAAATGGGTTCTTGAGCAGTCCCTGCAGATCTGTAGATGTAGAGCTTGTCGGCTCAAATCTTGTTGGCTTTTGTATACTTCAGCAAGTAAGGTGGATGCCAAAGTATTGCTTGCAATTAAGAGTTCGTAAATGCTGTTATTGTGTGCCATTGCAAAACGTGACTGAATACCCTAGTAACGCCTAATTGATGCCGACATGATCGCCGAATATACGATTTTGCGCTGCTGTGTGGTATGATCAAGGTAACATCAAACGCGGTACTTGACACAAACATCATGTCCCGTTGTTGACAATAAGGGTCGAATTTTGTCATATCAAGGCTGAGCGCGACGTATATATTGACATCAACAAGAGAAGTCTTGAATGTGACGTTGGTTCTGCATATAGAAAGAGCCCGCCAAAAAACCTGCGACGCGTGGTTTAATGCTGTTTCAAACTGTCAAAGAACTATCAACAACGCAACGACGGGTCAAGGGTTTGCGGATGAATAGACCCCGTCGGATGGAACGCTTGCGCCGCGTGGTGGTTGATCTGGGCTCGACTGGTCACATTATTCGATCCCAAATCCATTATTAATAGCGGGCAAGCAAATACTACATAGGGCGGTCGAAGGGCTGGACAAGGGAGCAAGAACATGTACGTAGCTAGAAGAGATAACGTTTGAACAAGTACATACAGCTGCGGTTGCGGCGGGAACAAGGGTATCAAAAATCCACCTTTTCAAGGATCCAAATCTTGACGTTGGAGAAGGCCTGCCCAATCAAGGGTCTAGAAGGCTAGTTGTTCTGAATTTCGAGTTTGTAGATCTCATATAGTCGGTCGTATTTGCAATAAAGCTTTCTCAAGGCAAGAAGAAAAAGCAGCTCCACGAGAATTTGTTATTATTATCAGGATTGACCAGCCTCGTGCAAAAAACGCGACTTTATCACACCAACACACACGTGTTTCGCTTGGGCACAGACGCCCATTGTTCCCGCTGATGCATACATCCCCCGGTCTTGTCCTGGGCACGGTGGAAGGAGGTTTGTGCCTTTTCATTCTCGGGTCTGTCGTCATGTCATTGCAACAACACGGAATCAAGAAGAACGTTGCCTTGGGGCATAGGGCAGAAACCCAATGCCATTCGGCAATTCGCTTTTGGTGACATCCTACCAAGAGTTGCTCGGTTGTTTGGTGTTGATGTAAAGGCATCAGAGTCCTGCAGATCAGTTACATGGTTATTCTACGCAGTAATATAGCTCGAGAGATACAGGCCCCCAATCACACATCACAAGGGGGCTAAAGCAGTCGTTCGGATTAAGTGAGGAGGGGCAATTGGGCGTGGCATCGGATCGTCTTGTCCTTGTCGTTGATGAACAAGAAGAAAAAAAAAATCGTGGCTTGCAAGGCTTGCTAACAGTGCTTTCGCCAACGCCGATTTGCCGGATTCGCACGCTTTGCTTTTCTCTTTTTGGTAGGGGGCTGCCGTGGGAATATGCAAAATGCGCGTCCCAACCCCGGTCCGGTCGACGTCGGCTGCTTTTCGAAATCTGCAAAATGGGCATCGGGAATTCGATCAATCAGCATGCAGTGTCTCCCTGATGTGCAGTTGGCGCGGGCATGGTTGCGAGAACAAGGGAGGGGGAGGTGCGAGCCTTGCCCCGGGCGACTGGCTACTACTGCTTTCGTAGAAAGAGAAACTGGAAAAGCTCCGGGGCTCCAATCGATTGCCTGAGCGCAACTTGGTTCTCCGGAAATATGATGTCTTGCCCGGCTTGAGCAGACGGGAGATGGGAAACTGTGTGTGTATGTAGATGACTGACGATATCAAATTATCAGCTAGAAAGGAAAGCAAATGGGTCCCTGCCTGACATCAATTTGCATGATAGATTGCGTTGATGAGTGATATATCTGGTTGCTGCCGGTCGTGCGTTTCCGGTTCGTTGCAAATCCCTATCATCCAGCATGAACGGTGGATCATGAAATTCCCGGGTAACCCTCGTCCCCAAAAAAGGTCAGAGTGGAGAGGCTGTCAGCATAACGTCCAAGCCAAGTGAAAAAGAAAAGACATCACATCAAGCCGTGCTGATTCAAGGATGATTTCAAATGATGATAAACCGGCCGTGATTCTGCAAGGTGGTTAGAGAGGAAAAAAACTGTTCTGTTGCATCCCGTGCCGAAACATACGAGAATCGCTAATAAATGGGTTGAGGGCCGGCGGGCGTTGCCTTGCTGCTACCAAGACTTACATATGTACCCCATAGCCAAATCTGGTGGTAGTAAATACAGGCATGTCGACATTATAGACAGGCCAGTTGCATAGGACCCCAGAATAGACAGCTCA